CTGGCGCAGGAGGGAAGGTGGATGGGGGCGGATGGACGACAATAGAGGAAAAGCGAGACATCACCAAACCTCGGCGCCCTGGGGAGGGCGAAATGCGGGTTTTTGGTTGCTACTTCTATTTTTGCTATTTCTGCTTTGAAGCCCTTTCCCCTTCATGTCTGTAATGAAAGGCCACCTGCACGAACGCGTTTAAATCTCCCGATTTCCCCTCGCTCGCTCTGCGGTTGGGGGATCCGAAGTTTGTGGCTTTTATTTGTTTTGTTTCATAATCTTTCCTTTCCAGTGAGAGCTGTGATGGGACGTTGCTTGGGGCTTTATTTTTAAGCCGAGTCTGAAATGTGTAACTCCGCCAAGATCAGGGGTTTCATCTAAAAGCACTACCAGGCTTTTCTGCGCTAGAGTTACACTCTGTTTTGCCAAAATAAAGGATTCCGGTTAGACAAGATTTTTTCCCCTCCCTTTATTTTTTCCCCTCTTCTTTTCGCTCTTTTTTGAGGTCTCTCTATTCTTGGTTGGGCACAGTGCAGTGTATTACACTTCTACTAGTTACCTCTTCAGCTGGCAGGTAGTAGTTATATGTATTTACTCACAAAAAGCCACTATTGTTCAGCCCCACCTGGCCGTTGTAAGTTACGTGCTGGAAGTAATCTAGAAAAGGCTTTTCTTTTGCCAGCACTGCTCTGGCCACAGATGTATGTTGGCTTCTTGACAGCATAGTTAAAATCCCTTCGCAAAGCCAGGAGGTGTAGGCTTTGCAACGGGATTCAGCTTCGCATTTCCTCCAAGCCACGTGAATATAATAATGATAACTCCATGCTTGTTTTCGGGACACCTGTTGAAAGTTTCTAGGTGATGCTTTATGACTTACCAAAAAGGTTGAACTTTAAAACTCCTTCAGTAGAATGCCTAAAAAGTACTGATTTTTGTCTGAACAACGCAAAATTCTAGAAGTTGGTTTATAGGAGACAAAGACCTCCATGTCTGTGTTGTACTTTACGTAGTCTAACAGTCCCTAATTTGTGAGCATTAATTCCGTGCTCATCTGTCTGTCAGAAAGCAACAGAGCTTTGGCTTTGCTTATCAATCTTAGGATCAACTTTTCATATCTTATTGCATGCTAAATTTCTGCCTGTTTATAAAGGTGAAGAAGTTGAATATTTATTTTAGTACATATAATACTTATCAAGATATTTATCCATGGTTGTAATTTGGTGCCTGGGAGTCATTTTCTATAATTGAAAAGGAAAACTTGCAACTTTCTGTCTTTTGAAAGAGCTACAACTTTGGGGGTTTGCCTTTCTTGTTTCTTTCCCTGTGTGACATTTGAAGCACGCTCAGTGCTTTTTAGTAAGATATCAATGGATAGGCTGGAACTCATCGAGTCCTGCCAAAATTTGATCTGTGCAAATGGAAACAGTTTGTCCATTGTCTCCCATATATTCCGTTTCTGTGATGGAATAAACAAACTGATACCACTGAAGGGCAGAATGTAACTGTGCCTGAAGAATGTAATCTCATGCTGATACAGTTTAATAAATATGTCTCCAACTCGGGTCTTTGCATCCTTCTGTTTGATACCTGAGCGCTTTGGTCCCTCGTATGTCTCTTATTGCAGCTGTTAATGATCATTCCTGTGTGGTGGAATTTCAAATCTGAGCAGTGTGCAGAAAAGGGGTTTTGTTGAATGACAGCACAAGGGAATTGGCCCTAGCTGAATAGTAAAAACTGATTATGTATTGGAAGTGTTGACTCAATATGGAATACACTGAACATTCAGGTTTCCTTAAATACGAGGTCCTGTAATTACTTTGTTCCCTCTGTGTCACTCTGGAATGAATGCCTTGAAATCCTAGTGCATTCTACGTGATTGTTCCAGTTAAATGCCTCAAGAGCTGGAAGCATCCCTTAATGCATTTCAACTTCTCCTTCTTGCAGGATTTAGTGGAATACACTTTTACTTTCTGCCCAGTGCAGAGAACAAAGCCTTAAATACAGTTTCATGTAAGATTTACAACAGTCCATTGAAGATTAGATATAACATTCAGTTAATAACGAGGCATAATGACAGAATTCTGTCTGCAAGGGTAAAAACATTGTTTCTTAGAGGTGCTTAATTTTTAGAGCCCACAGAATAATGGAACCCATCTGCCTAATGAAGGTGATTTAGCATTACAGGAATTTTGCATTAGAATGTTTTGTAACTTGGTATAAAATCAGCTTTGTGGATTTTTTTACTGCCCAAGTCTGCTGCTTGTTTCCCAAATAAATAAGAACTGCTTTGTTATGTGGCTTCAGTGGAAAATTTATATTGGAATTCTATATTAAATGATTCTTGTAGGCAAAGTGTTCTCCTTTCTGTCTGGATGTGTGTTGAAACCTGTTTGAAATTGCAGTGCAACTCTTAAAAATGTTGGGCTTGGTAAATATCCCCCAAAAAATCTAACAAGGCAAAAAATGCTTGTTCAATTTACACTGGTTTCTAAGGTGCCATCTTAAAAATCTAAGGTGTTTCTATCTTCACTGCATTCCATAGTACACATCCACACTGTTACATCCAGTGGTGCTCCCTTCTCTCCCAAGGTAACACCCTCCTTCAGAACGTAAAACATTAGTGGGAGATCAGTATCTCTATAAGGAATGTATTTGGATCAAGGATTAAAGATCTTGGGTCCCACATTTAAACTGAAAGCAAGCTTTTTGTTTTAAATAGAGAGCAATGCACTCTCAAAAGCCAGCTTGGTGAAGTTATCTTTTTAAGCTCCAGAGATGTTTTCCTATTCACAGAGAAAAACCACTGCAGTTACTTCAGTTTCTTATCTTTCAGTTACTAATTCGTGTCTTTGTGGATTAGCTGTCCTGGTGTAAATGTATCTTGAAAGAGCACGTTTGTTCATTTCCTTTGGGTTTCTTCTATTTGTGTAGTCTAATGAATAAAAAATAATGGTGAAAATACTCATTTGACTTTGACTTGACTCCTTGTGTTCTTTGCAGTCAGTTTTCAGCTGAGCTCCCAAGTCCATATCCAGTAACGGATGGTGGGAAATTTTCCAGTCAAGTCAAGGATTTGGCTATGGATTGGCCCGAGTTTTTATCAAGGCTTGGTTATGATTATTACCTATAATATTACCTATATTATCTTTACTCAGAAAACTTGAGATATGCTAGATCTCAAGTATGTGACACAGAACATTGTTTTTTTCAGGAGAGCCTGCACTTACTGTTTGGATATGCTGTTCCTGGGAGATCAGCAGAAAGTTATAAAACCCTGCTCAGTCCAGGAATTACATTGAGGAATGCTTCTCGGGAAGTTACAGTTGCTTGAAGTAGGTGCTGTCCACAGTTTCTGTGCTTTATAAGGAGTACCTGGGAGCTCAAGCTGACAGCTGCAGGCATCTAACTCGATCAGGAGTGTCGGTGCTGCTGTTAGATGTGGTGCCTCAGCCATTATCTGTTTCCTTCTGTGATTGTATGGAAGCGTTGACACCAGCTGCTGATTGTGGTGTATCTTCCCCACTTGTGATGGAAATGCCAGGTCCCCTTTGATGCTGTGTCCTTTTCTAACATGGCAAACCAACAAGGGGGAGAATGCAGACAGACAACCCCAATTACTCTGTGGTTTTGATTTGGGAGCCTAATCCAATGAACATATTTTGATTCTCAGCAAGTCCTGAGTAACTGGTGGAAGAACGACCCAGCTTTGCTGTCTCTGTATTCAGTTTTCAGCATTCTTTCAATAAAAAGAAGGAACGGTCTTCTGTATCTTCTGCTCTGGGTAGTGCTGTACTTTCCACTGCTTCTAGATCAGTTTAGGTGAAGCACATGATTGACATAACATGTTTTATAAAAGTCTGTCTCGTGTCTTTCAAGCCTTTATAGGTGCTTTCAGCTTACTATAGAAAAATAAATGTTACTGCTCTCTGTTCATGTAAAATTAAAGAAGAATCCTCCATGGCATTTCAGGTAACTTTGGGAATTTTGACTACAGCATTCCCAGTAGTACAAGTTACTCAGAAAGTACATACAAACATGAAAAAAGAATCTGTTTCTTTTGGCCCTCCAGAATGATCTGATTTGTTCTCTTCCAAAAAGCTAAATGAATAACTCAAAACTGAGTTGAAGAAGTTACAAGTTGTAGCTAATTTAGCTATAACACTTTGGATTTCTTTCTTCACATTTTACAGTCGAGGATGCCTTTCTTGGTTCTCAAAGGCAGTGCTATAGCCATGCAGCAAACCTCACTTCTAGTAAAGGGTAGGACAGGGGCTGTACAACTCAGAAGCAGATGAATCCTGTAGAAGTTATTACCTCCTACACTTCCATGTGTCAAAGGAGCTGTTACTGATGGGAGATGTGAAAGTAAATCTGTAAAATGTCAATGGCATCTGAAGTTTTTGACGTGTTCAGAAGGGTAACATCACTTCATTCTAGGAATCAGTCAGTACATGTGCTTAAAGATGTGCCAAACCTTCATCAAGCTTGAGAGGTGACAAGTAATTTTATTGAAAGACTGGCAGTAGTTTTATCCTTCCAAGAAAACACTCCTCTTGGGAATCTTCAGTACCAAAGAACACATTTTCTGATTAAAAATTAAATCATTTCCTGCTCAAGCAATATTGTTAACATTACACAAGGGATTTAAAATCCAGGTTGTAAATTCCTCTTACGTGTGGGTATATGGTTATCCCTGCCTGGTACACGGAAGCTTTGTAATGTAACTGTGTTTTGTTCTAGCTATGCCCAATGATTTTTTGAACAGCATAAGTTAAAATTGGTGATAACACTATTTTGGCTTCACAATAAAAGTTACAAGAAATTTTTTTCAGTTGACATATTAGAGACAGAAAACACATTAAAGGGACTTGGCACTTCAAGGAGAAACATATTTTCTTTTTGGAAGTCTCTGCCAAGGACAGTCACTGAACCCAGGTGCTCAAACCTGATGAAATCATTGCAAAGCTGCTGGGTATTTTAGATGTGATTTCATTTCACTCCTTCAGGAAATGTTAATTTCTGTGTATGTGGTGCATTAGAACTTCGGGGGGGGGGGGGGAGGTGTCTTTAGTTTTGTCTCAAAATGAGTAATAGTGCTTAGTTTACACTGAAATTCTTACAAGCTTTGGGGTTCTTCATATTGCTTTTTTAGTGGAAATGAGATTATCAGAAGCACTTTGTATTGCCTTGTTCACTGACTTCAGTGTATGCTGCTTATCCTGGATAACTTATTTTCTGAGGTATTTTTTACACTGGTGATTGCTTGCACCCAGTTTTTCTGTTGCTTGTGTTGTTTCAATGCTAAATTAAAAATACTAGCTTCACATTTAGTTACATGCACGGAAGGAGAACAAAACTTTGGAACTTGGCTATCTATAAATAGTGCAGCTATGGGTAGCATGGCACTACAAAATATTTCTCAGGTTACGTAGTAGTAAAATGAGCAGTGGAACAAATATTAGTGAGACAAAAAGAATCAGATGTGGAGAATTTAGAAATGCTGAAAAAGTAATAGCCTAGGTTTGTGCTGAAACAAATGGATTGCAGATGCTCCTGAATAGGGAGCTTGGGTGCTATTTTTAGCTGGAAAAGTAGCTCTGAAGCTGTCTGATGTTACCCCGTGCAGTGTGTAAGTATGCAGGAAAAGTAAAGGCAGGTGAATGTCTTTAACCATGGAGTTTTTCATGTGAAAGGTCAGACTTTCATCACTCTCTGTGGGAGCTTCTGCTGGTTGGTTGAGATAAAGAAAGTAGTGTTACGGTCAAAGTGGGAGGCTGACTGCAGATAAGTAATGTGTGTATTGCTCTTTCAGGTTTGAGTATGAGCACAGTTGAAGAAGAGTCTGACACAGTGACAGTAGAAACCGTGAACTCTGTGACTTTGACTCAGGACACTGAAGGGAACCTTATACTTCATTGCCCTCAAAATGGTATAGAATTGTATTGCATAGTATTTTTTCTTCTTTTTCCATTGATCCAGCCATCGTACTTAGCTGCCCCCAAATTCTGTGAGCTACTTGGATTTAGATTATTGTGCTGCAATTAGTTCTGGTTTGGTTTAAAGAAGGATGAAGTGCCAAGTTAGATGTAAATCACAGAATTATGTATGTGTGTGCTCAACAAGGATATAGCTGTTCTGACTTCCCATGGTGGAAATGGGTTCTTAGAACCAAGCATGTACCCAGATTTCTGTAGACATAAGGGACTGGTTTGTGTGTGATGGACTGTGGACAGAATTTACAATGAAAACCCCACAGAAAATGCATGCTGAAGAAAGCACGTGAACTTTTGCTGCCTGTAACTTACACTGAGTTTCTGGACAGTAGTAAAGCACTAAACCAACCTATTGCATTTGCTTCTACCTTTTGGTTTGGCCCACTTTGTTAGCAGAACTCTGTCCAAAGCTGCACTTTGTTAACAGAAGGTAACCTATGTGTGTTTTTCTTGTTAGAAGCTGATGAAGTAGATTCTGAAGACAGCACTGAACCTCCACACAAGAGGCTTTGCTTGTCAGAGGATGATCAAAGCCTTGATGATTCCACCCCATGCATTTCTGTCGTTGCAGTTCCAAGTAAGTTCTTTTAACTTTATGTACTCCTGTAGCATGTGTTTCTTTTACTGAAGGTTAAAAGTGGACTCTTTGGATCACATTAGAATATTCTGTATGTTTTTTATTTTCTAATCTTAGTAATAGATGTAAGTATTGTCTCTACCTCTCAGAACCTTGGATGATTTTGCAGCAATCGTTATCTGTACAGTACTGGTAAACTAAGCCTGCCTTACATATAGAGGCCTGCAGGCACAGTGCATTGAATGAGTTGAAGTATTAGTGAATGAACAACAAACTAGATGCTCTCCTCCTGCAAAAGTGATTAGGTTTTTTTAATGCTCAAACAGTACAGTTAGTATTTCCCTATTTTGTAATACGAACTTATATGTTCTTCTTAAGGTAGAGACTGTTGTACAAAAGGTAGGCTGTGTACCGAATCAAGAAAGTTGCTTAAATATTAGATAGTTGAGTATAATCTCCCTAAGGGAGGCAAAACCAGATCTAGCAAGTTAAAATACTGATTTACAGTACCTAGAGTGGCTGTTTATTTGGTGGACCTTAGTAGAAACTCCTTAGAAGTAAAGGCATTATCACATTGTTGAAGGAAAATTGGGGAAAAAGAGTGCAGCTGAAAGATTTGAACATTGCCCTTTAGTAATTGGAAAACATTAAAGGTAGGGCTGGAAAGGAAGCATTAATTCTGTTCCAAATGTTTGCACCAAACCAAACACCTTTTATTTATATGCTTCACAGTAGGTCTTAGTTGTAGTGTAGAGCTGAAGGCTTCAAAACCCATATTTAAATTTATAAAGAGGAACTGTTGATAATAATTTTGACGATTTTACTGTGTCGATAAATAAACACCGAATAAGGCCTCTCTAACTCACTGCAAAAGTAGCAATTTAGAAAATCTGTAGCATGCATAAAAAATGTTACAGGTGTAAGGCATGCAACTAATTTACCCATTCTGAAGTTTCAGAAAATGAGCAGAGCTTCGAGGTGACCATGACTGCTACCACTGAGGTAGCTGAAGATGAAATTAACGAAGGAACTGTTACTCAGATTCAGGTACAGTAAAACTTCAGAATCGACCTATTTGATGTACAGTTTGATTTTAAATTGAAGCAAAAGGGAAACAGATAGCAGAAAGGCTTATTAAATTAATAACATTTAGTATGAACCTCATGTATTTGAGCATTGGTCTTGCCTGTAAAATGTTGTTCCATAGAAGTGCAGTTGAACCATTTGATGTACAAAAAAGGTTATTTGCAGTGTGCCTTGCTGCACAAAAAGCAATACAGTAAGAAGTAATAAATGTAACCCTCCACTGATAATTTTTATGCTCTGTGATCTGCACAGAAGACAAGCTTATATGTTATTTCTGTCATTCTTTGATTATAAATTAAGCCTTACAGCAGGCCTAAATATGCTTTGTCTTGTCAGCGGTACATACAGCTCTCACTGTGGATATGCCATGTCTAAAAGTTCTGGATTGGAGATGCTAGACATAGTCCTCTTTCCACCAAAGCCAGTGAGACTCTTCCTATTCACTGTGCGTTAAACAGGATGAATAATGTCGCCACATTAATTCTCACAACATCTGTATATTAAGATGCTAAATCTTACTCAGATGTTTTAAGCGAGGTAAATGTATTTCTTATGCCATATGTAAAAAGTGGCACTTTCTGAGCAGTCAGCAAGGTAATGAGGTGTGCTGGTTTCATTTGCCTTCAAGTTATGCCACCATGCTAAATGCAGAGTGATAGAACTGGAGATCTTACTGTGTGATTTCATGTTGGTCTTTTCAAGATTCTTCAGAATGAGCAGCTGGATGAAATCTCCCCAATGGGCAATGAAGAAGTGTCAGCTGTTAGTCAAGCCTGGTTCACAACCAAGGAGGATAAGGATTCTCTAACAAATAAAGGTAGGATATATCAAATGCAGTTCTCCTGCGCTGTGAAAAGGTAAGCTGTTCCAGACGTCTCATAACATTTTGCAGGTCGTATAACATAATCTCTGGTCTGGCTTTTTTAGTGAAGTGTTTGAGAAGGCTGATTCTAAAAATGCTGAGAGATCTAATGCATTAAGTCGTCACCATCCCTCTTACACTTTTCATGCAAGGAGAAAGTTGGAACATTTGCAAAAGAAGAGAGGTCATGCACGCAGTGGTGACAGGGATTCTAGTGGCCCTGGTAGAGGACTTCTGTGGATGGAGAAGAGAAGGCTCAGGGGAAACCTAACACTCTTCTAATCCCTAAAGGGGGCCTACAAGAAATCTGAAGAGGAACTTTTATAAGAGCGTGTAGTGATAGGACAAGGGGGAATGGCTTTAAAGTGATAGAGAGGACATTTAGATGAGATCTTAGGCAGAAGCTCTTCCCTGTGAGGGTGCTGAGGTGCTGGCACAGGGTGCCCAGAGAAGCTGTGGCTGCCCCATCTCTGGCAGTGTTCAAGGCCAGGTTGGACACAGGGGCTTGGAGCAACCTGCTTTAGTGGAAGGTGTCCCTGCCCATGGCAGGGGCTTGGAACTGGATGAGCTTTAAGGTCCTTTCCAACCTAAATCAGTCTGTGATTCTGTGATTCATTCTATAACATGTGTTGGCACAGTTGGGGCAGACACTTGTGTTTGCTCCATTGGCACTTCTGCCTGGTTACGAGATGGAATGCTGCAGTCAAAGGTTCACCAGGCAAAAAATCAGTGCTCAGGTTAATACATCTTCCCTCAAGGAGAGTTTAATAGTTGGGCTATGTGTTGTGATTTATATTAAACAGTTTCTGGGTTTGAGTTGCTTCAGAAATAGAGGGATCATGCAGACCAGGATCTCCTGAAATAATCACTGCTACTCCTAAAACTGCCAACCCATTGGCATTCCTCCCTTTTAAAAACGTATCTGTGCAATCATGTGATAGTTGCTGAACTTTGGAGCTTTTTTTTTCTTTCCCCCAGGGGAACTGCCTTTCTAAACTTAGAGAAACAACTTAGTGTCAAATGAAGGCATGTTGTCTCTCCAGATTCCTCAGCCTTTACTATTTTTCTTAACCTGATTTTACCTCTTTCTAGGGGAAAAAAAAAACCAAAACCTTTTCAGTCAGTCCAAAGCAACTCCCCTTTTTATTAAAAAACTTTAGGAAGAAAAGAAATGTTTTTCTCTCACAGAAGCAAATGATCTTTTACTCAGTGTATTGCTGAGTCAATGAAAAAATGAGTGTGAGGCACAGGGAACCTGGGTGTTGGATATGGAAACTTCAGAGAAAGGGAGCCAAGCAGCTCTGTCAGTGACCAGTCTCTCGTCCCAAGTGTGCACCAACAGTTGCTTATAACAGCCAATAAATAATTTCTCTCTGTTTTCTCTGTCCTTATTTATTACCTTTATAGAGCATCAGAGCTATTCGGTGTTCAGTCCAAGGACAGGGGCAGAGATGAGACAGCAAAGAGATTGCTTTGCATCCCAACACTGAGGTAGCTGGGTGGAAGTAGTGAGAAATGATGTTGTTCCAGTTCCTGTGCTCTAGGGTGAGAAGCAGCACAGGGATTATGATCTTTTCAGTAGCCAGTGGTAAAGGACTTTGGCTGGGAGCAGAACATTCTCAGCTGTGACTCGAGGAGCATGTTCTAGTGATTTGTCAGAGAAATAAATGACTGTTTTCATGTGACATGGTGGCCTCAGGTTTGATATGTGTCTTGTTAAATATATTAGAAGTTGTGTTTTTAGCTGTTTCACAGACGTATCCACTGACCATTTATCACAAGTGGCGTTTAGTTGTGAATTAATGAGGGCACTAAATACGGTGATCTTTAATTAAGAGATTAATAATTTAAGGAAGACAATTCCAGTAAAATACACCCAGAAAAATATTTGAGAATCCATGCTAGCTGAACTGTTCTTGGGGTCTCCATGATTTTTCACAGCTGTGGAGGAATCCTGGTGTGCATCTCCTTCTACAGTGGCTGGGAGTGCAACGTGTGTTGCCTGAGCTCACCATTTTATAGCAGTCTCCACCTGATAATGTTTTCTTTCAAGACCTGTGGCCAGGTTATTACAATCTTTGCACTGCATATGCAAACACATGAAGTGCAAAATATATACCCTTTCCTAAGATAGCTGGGTATTACAGGTTATTCCATGGAAAGATTAGCAGTATCCCTTTATGTCAGTTCAGGTGCTTGGGTGGATGCGTGAATTGGCAACAGCAGCAGATTATTATTCTGGCCCTACAGCTTTGGAAGAAGAGGTTGAAGCCATCAGGCACACAGGGAAGAGTTTTCTTTCATCACTTCCAGTGGAATTAGTAATAATGCCTGGACTTTCCATTATAATTGGATTTGAGTAAACAGGCTCTTGATGTGTTCTGCCTCTCAGCTCTGGTAATTAGCAGGCTGAGAAGGAAGTACCCTGATTTTTCTGAGCAGCGATGGGCAGGTAGCCAGCACACACCAGTATCTAAACTGGATCACCAGCATAATCTTAATTGTAAGTGATCATTAATATTAGGTGTGGTATGAGGGGGAAAAAGAGAAATCTATCTATAAATTTAGGGTAGGAATGTTTTATTGGTAGACCTCAAGTTTGAAAATTTCTCTGTGAATAACAAAGTCCGTCAGGTTTGCTTTGAAAGCTTAGCTGGCATTGTAGTTACTAAGGGCATAGGCAGAGAAGAAACACTTACCTTGATTCTTTATCTTAACTGTGACCACTGGTGTTATTCCCAATGCAAAATAAAAATGAGACAGATAGGGACCAGCTTGTCAAAATAAACTAGGCAGAGCATTTATCTCGATGTAAAGCACTCACAATAGGTAGCACTACGCAGATGCTGGGAAGTGGCAAGGCATACAAGAACCCAACGTTGTTGCTAATTCCTCAAGTAATATTATGAGTCACATATTTAAGTCCCAGCTTTTGGAATCGTTTGAGTGCATGTAAATTACACGTGTTGATTTAAAAACAGAAACTTTCCACTTGTGGCTGAGGAGAGAGGCTGAAAATGTGACTTCACAGCACATAGAGGAATTGATGTCTTTTTAAAAGTGCATGGGACGGGTCTGACTCATGTGTAAACGTTAGTTGGCAGTTACTAGGGATTGTTTATCAGTTCTGAAACAGCATCTGTTTAAAATCTAGTTAGTTTAAGTAGCTAAAATTACTCTTAACTGCAGTAACGAGGGTCGTGTCTTCTGATATTTCTGTCCTTGCTGTTTTGCTTTCACTTCAGTAATTAGCTGGTCATTTTTGTTTTCAGGCCATAAGTGGAAGCAAGGGATGTGGTCCAAGGAAGAAATTGATATTTTGATGAGTAACATTGAGCGTTATTTAAAGGTATGTGTTAGAGTACGTTATCTGCTAGTTGGCATGGTGATGCAGCTCCTGCTGGAAACCAGCTTTCTTTAGGACTTCTCAGAATATGCAATAAGTGATTCCAATCAATTTGTAGTAGGAATTATCATTACCCATTTGCAATACATAAGAAAATTGTATCCATACACAGGATTTAAGACTAGTGAGTATAACATTGCTTTTAATTTGGGTACTGAATACGACCCATTTTAGAATTTCATGTCAGAATGCTCAGTGGCTTAATCTCTCTGAATATACATCACTCATGAAACCTTTGGTGAAGACAGAGGAAAAATACTGTGCTAGGAGTAGAGATAATTTCCTTACAAAGCATTGAATACAACTTCCAGACTTCTTTGATGCCATATCTGTATTTGTTTACTACACAAAGAGAATGTCTGGATCTGCTTAATATATCGGTGTCAGAGTTCAGTGTAAAAATAGGCCTGCAGTTAACATGCTGACAGTGATAATTGGCCATAAGTCATGTTTGTGTTAGGCTGACAGCTGAGAATAGTTCAGCTGAGTCCTTAAAGCTGAAAATATATAGCCTGGGTATTGCAGGTTCACCATCATTCATTTGTGATCAAAAAAAGCCCTGAATTTAGTCTTCATCGGTATAAAAACCTCAGTATCAGTTGTAGAAAGTGTGCCTACCTACACGTGTGTTAGAATTTCTGCCACAAAATCATTCATAAGTAATACTGTTTTTTAACTCTAGAGACTTTTTTTTTAAGCTAACTAAATAAGTTGTTAGAGTTACTGATAGCTCGTTTTGTTCATTTATTTCCCACTAAATAAGTTGTTAGAGTTACTGATAGCTCATTTTGTTCATTAATTTCCAATTTATCTGCTTTCTTGTACTGCTTCGAATAAGTGAAGTTCAGTGATTTTTAGTTGAAGCTGAAGTTAAACTAAAGCTCTCCTCTTATACTTACCTCCTCTATTCTTATCAAACTTACTTTGAGTTTCCATCAGAACAAGAAAAGTAGTTTAGTAGGAAACCAATTTCTTTCAGAGAAGGAATATCTAAAATTAAAAGTAATAAATGGATATAGCAGCATTTGACAACCTTCCCATGTATGACCCCAGGCTAATTCCACCACAGTATGTTTTCCATGATGTTCTAAATGGTGATTCAGTTTTTGACCTTAAAATGTTTTAAATGCGGATTAAAGTCAGAGCATCTGTGTCTATGTGGACTCTGTTGTGATAAATAAAACCCCAAACCTTGTGTTCAAGGGTTTGTACTTGAGGTAGCTAATTCATACTCAGTTTAGCTTTTGGCCTGTATTATTTGTGATACATAGAAGGTTGCATCATAGTATGTGCATCAGTTCTTAAGTGTTCTGCTTCTTGATTTCTAGGAAACTTTCTCTAAGGTGTTATGTTTGTGGTTTTCTGTTTATTTTGTAAATGCTTTCTTCTAGGCCCGTGGAATAAAAGATGCCACTGAAATTATATTTGAAATGTCAAAAGATGAAAGAAAAGATTTCTACAGGACAATAGCTTGGGGTCTGAATAGGCCTCTCTTTGCTGTCTATAGAAGAGTTCTTCGCATGTATGATGACAGAAATCATGTTGGAAAGTATGCAAACCTCTAATGCTGCATGGTTTTATTGGTATGAGGAGGGTCATGTGTGTAATGTTTGACATGTTATATGTGACACACAAGATTGTAGCCAAGCAGACCTAGCTCTTCTTAATCACAAGTAACCTCTGCTGAATGCTGGTAGATCAACCTTGACAATAATTGTGTTAAACTGAAGGTATTCACACTTAAAAGATGTAGAGAGGATTCTGATATCATTAGAAGACTTAGACAGAAGCGCACATCTGCTGAGATGTAGTTTCTTTCTAGAACAGTGACCTTGAGCTAATTGACCTTCATCCCTGTACCCTTAGTTTGCCCACCTGTAAAGCAGTGGGTATCAGTGGGTAGGGCACCATTCAGAATTACTGAAAAGAATGTTAGAATTTAGTTTTTAAAGGTAGTCGAAAATGAAAAACACAATCTCAGTGCTTAATGGACAGTCAGCTTTAGAGTGACTGTGAACTGAGACAGGAGGGGTTAAAAACCAGCTGTTTGTTTGAGACACTAATACACAGAATTCTGATTCTGTTCTTGGTAGTAAGATCACCGAGAATGAGGAATTTTGCTGGCAAATGAGAGGAATGTTAGAGCAGATCGCCTGAGAAATGCACTAATGTGGAAAATGGCATTAGTTCTTCATGTTCTTTCAGTCAGATTGTTCCTTACAGCTGAAATTCTGAATCTCTTGTAACTAAATGTGTACTATGTGTAGCAAAGCAAAAATATTTCTGCTGTATGCTTTATGTTTAAAATCATGTCTTTTAATTTACCTGTTCTTTAGGTATACTCCTGAGGAAATTGAAAAGCTTAAAGAGTAAGTCTTTTTTATTACCAAGGTCAAGCTACCTTATTTATATACCTTGTTTATATTTAGTAGCTTGAGCGGTTTCTACAGGTTATGTTACATGAAATCACTGAAAAGTGGTTAATTTAGAAGTAAATTTGATTGCTCCAACTCTATCAGAAAATAGCAGTCACTAAATTAATCAGAGGAGAAAGGAAAATGCAAAGGTTATTTCTAAAGAAAGTGGCAGGTCAAGGGTAGGATCTGCCATGTGAAGTATTAGAGAGATACGTAAATTATGAGTAAGGCTCTTTGATTTTGACTATGAAACTGATAGATCAAGGAGGGGCTGCAGGCTTCACCTGCTTTTGCTGCTTTCCAGGGTTGAGCAGTTTGAAGAAACCATGTTGGACTGAAGGCAGGAAGGGAATGTATTTCATTGCATTGATGGATATGTTTGGATCAGTTTAGTTTGTTTGTCATTTGCAAGCTGCCAGCAGTTCCAGATGTGTCAGAAGTAATCATGGCTCATCATGTTAAGCAACCTGTTGTTATCTGCAGGAGGGAAATAACAGTTAAAATTATGAACATGATTATGCAGTGTTCTACTTCATCTAAATTGTAGGATGACTGTATTTTCATCAGGCATTATTTAGGTTTCTCAAGTGATCTCTATTCCACCTGAAAAACCTTGAGGAACTTCTGTAGAATGGATGTTGGCTGTTTATCTAAACATTCAGATTGTAATTAAACCTCAGAACATTCCTGCAAGACAGATACTAAGCATTTTATGACTATCCTGTGGCTTAGCTGGTCCAAAAGGCTTCTTGAAAGACATAAAAATTAGCAGGGATGATAGAAAACATTAATACTGTAGCAGCAGAGTGACTCCCCATTCTGTCTTTAAGCCTGTAAACTTAACATTTACCTGGTTTTTATTAGAATGTATATTTATTAGAGTGTATTTGATACTTTAGTAATCTCATAACTGGATATAGTGCTAATGAGCATGTTTCTGTTTAGGCTGAGAGTAAAGCATGGAAACGATTGGGCCACAATAGGAGCTGCCCTGGGGAGAAGTGCTTCATCTGTAAAAGATCGGTGTAGACTGATGAAGGATACCTGCAACACAGGTGAGGTAAATGCTGGTGCCAGTAATGGATGCTCTAGTTAAAACTTGTTACCTTTGCCTTTGTCACTGGTGCTCTCAGAGATGTGTCACTCTGAACTGAGGAACTTACAGTGTGAAATCTGGGGACATCTGTAGAACGTATTTGCTATAGGTTTCTTCAGTTTCACTTCTTAAAGATCAGAACACTCAGTTTATTTTTGCAGTCCATTATCCATCATATCTTTATAGAATCATAGAATAGTTAGGGTTGGAAGGGACCTTAAGATCATCTAGTTCCAACCCCCCTGCCATGAGAAGCATATGTTTCTGAGGTGGATTAGAAAGTAATTTCCCTTGTGTTTGATGATTCTAAACATACACTGTATATATGGTGTCAGTTCAGAAACAGTGCACTTTAGGAATAAATTACTGTTTATTTTGTAGTGTGTATATTCAAATGGAAGGAAAATTTAGCCAGACCTCATGTAATTATGTATTTCCTGTCATAATTTACTTAACGAACACAATTCATGTAACTTGGACCAGTTTGCTTTGGCCAGTGTCTTGGTGAGTTGTTTGTGGCTTCATTCATCTGTGACAAGAAGAGAAAGGAACTTGGCAGCAAAACAATGGAATTATGCATTTGCTAACCAAGAAGTGATATATATTGTTAGTCAGTAGGAACAGTTACATTTTCTTCACAAGTCAATGTTTGTATCTGGAATAAGGTGTTAGGCGCTGAACATAAATGTCTGTTGATATGTTACGGATCAGAACAAGGCATCTGCTGCTTTTCTCTTTTAGGGAAGTGGACAGAGAAGGAAGAAAAAAGACTAGCAGAGGTAGTGCACGAGCTAACAAGCACAGAACCAGGTGACATTGTCACACAAGGTGTATCGTGGGCTGCTGTGGCAGAACGGGTCGGGACGCGCTCTGAAAAGCAATGCCGCTCTAAATGGCTCAACTATCTCAACTGGAAACAAAGTGGGGGCACTGAGTGGACCAAGGAAGATGAAATAAATCTCATCTTGAGGTTTGTTATTTCAGTTACTTGTAAAGGTTTGTGATACATGATGCTAGCAGGATTCCATTGGGGTCCATTTTGCTGGTTTCTTAGACACTAAAAGCTCTAGAACCCACCAAAAATCACTGCTGTGTTTACAGTTCCCAGAGATTTATTATTGAACATATTTTTTGTTTTTTGTTTTTTTAGTGAATGTTAGTGTTCGTGAAAGGTGTCAGATTGAAAACCCTGGAGACTGAAGTCTTCTTTATTCCACAGAAAAGGTACAGCACAGGCAGCAACCGTGCAAGCTTCCCACACGTTGCCCCACCAGTGCGCTTTAACCCTTAACTGGAGGGTTGTTCAGTCTCCCTGCCCGTTCAGTCCTTGGCCTCTCTGCTGAGATGAGCCACAAGGGTCCAGTGTGGTGGTGGTTTCTGTGATGTGGACATCTTGTCTACAAAGAACTAAACTGAGACTGCAAATTAATTTCATGTAGGCCACCAAACACTTAATTGAATATCAACATCTTTGTCTATGTTTAAAGTGGCAACCTGAAAGCAACTTGGAAATCTTTTGCTCTCTCCAGTCCTCCTCCCATTTTGAATGCCTTTAACTCAGGCTTTTTAGCCAGTGGATTTTTATGGGTTGATAGTTTTGGGTGGGAATAAAAAGCCAAGGCATCCAGGGAATCTAAGCATTATTTACAAAGCAATATCCACTAATTTACTGAGGCTGTTTGACATGAACTCCAAATGAGGAACCTGATTCCACATTTCAGAATGTGCTGGTTATAATTTTTAGTATTTGGGTACAAATGGTATCTGGTTTGGTCTGTCCAGGTATCCTTAACTCATCCTGCAGGGTTGGTTTTGGTAGCTTGTTTCTTTTTTCCCCTTTTTTTTGTAACTCAGGAAGTGTGGAGTGCTATTGCTTGGTTTGTGAAGAGAACTTTTCCTAACTTCCATAAAAATCTTTTCCTCTCTCACTGTTCATCTCTTGTTCATATGCTCCACATGCAGATGAGATGGAGGCAGCCCAAAGATACTTGTAGTATTCAAACAGATTCTGGCAGAATCCAGTGTGTGCTTAACATCTGCCAAAATTACACGAAGACTGCCCCTTACCTGTAGAGCCTGATGGGATTGACTTAGGAGGAACTGTTCAATACTGTAGTTAACTTCATCTACTTTGGCTAAGAAGCATCTGAGAGGAGGCAAAAACCTATGTTAAGGATGGATGAGTGTTTTGTAGGAGAAAACAGAAGTAAATACCATAACATGAAATTAATTAAGTGAAAGTTCAGAGTGAATCTCAGGAAGTGTTTCCTGCCTTGGAGATGTGTTTGGGGAATGGCTTTCCAAAGAGAAAAGATGCAAAGACCATCATTTGGAATGCTTCACATAATCTGATCAAAGTCCTAATGTCTATGTAAATAGGGAGAATAATCCTGCATGGCAAGGAGATAGACTGGATCATCTAACAGGTCTAGTCCATCTTCTGTTGTTTATGATTCTGCTTGACCTCTGGCAGCGTGGAGCCTTGGAAGCCTGTGTCGATTCATGAGCTCTGTTGGACTATTCACTAGCATGCCATTTTGCTGCTGTTAACGTGTGACAAGACCAGAGATCTGCAACACCCCTTCCAGGCTGGAGGGTAGTTTCTAACAGGTAAATATTTTCTGTATCCTGCCAGGATAGCGGAACTTGAAGTTTCTGATGAAAATGACATCAATTGGGATTTACTAGCTGAAGGATGGAGTAGTGTCCGCTCACCACAGTGGCTTCGGAGTAAATGGTGGACCATTAAAAGACAGATTGCAAACCACAAAGATGTTTCATTCCCTGGTAATGTACTACTTGCACACTTCTCTTCTGAAAGCTCCTTTCACAAATGGCAAAGGAATAAGGCTGCATTTTGTTGTCTACTTACAGCTTTCCTGGCCAAAGAGCACATTGCTCCTTTGCTGGAAGTTACTGGCCCTTTGGATCTGCTGGCTGGATTGCTCCTACAAGCAGTCCTTAAGCGTTTCAGTTGAAACAAACCGAGCTGATGTAAAATCTACTCTTTAGTTGTATACCAACTTACCTCACTTGGGCTAAAGTGAGAGCATGTATATAAGCAGCTCAGCTGGCAGATCTCAGATGATGATGATCTTTGGTATGGAGGGCAGTGACCTCTTCAGGTGGAAGAGGGTATGTATCTGCAGCCTAACAGTATCACCTCTGGTTAGATCTGTTACCTTTAAAATGTTAAAATGTAATCTGTGTGAGGTGCTGAACCTTAGGAGTAGACAGAAAGTAGATCTACTATGAGCTATGCAGTAAGGAGAAGGGGAGGAGTTGGGAATACACACCTCTCACAGCATTTTCTCATTCTTGGTTGGAGAAACTAGTGCCTGGCCAATGGGTATTTCAGTCTCCATGACCTTCAGTCCTCTTTTTCTCTGACTTGGGGAGAGGAAAAAAAATCAGAGAGATTAATCATGTTATAATGAAAGGTTTAATTTAATGGACACTTTTGCTATGGTCATTGCTGTGGTTATATATTAGTCGTGCCTCGGAGCTGCAGTCGAGAAGGTAGCCCTGTTATGCTTACCATATGTTAATAGGCAGTTGTTGCACCAAATAATAACAACATAAATACGCCACTGAATCAAGAGGCTCCACTCTCTTTTCCCCGACAAAATGTCATGCTGTCAAGAGTGGGAGATGTTGAAGCTGCATTCAATACAGTTTGCTGTGTTGGATGCTAGAAAAACAGAGGTCTCTGCCTTTGTAACCTTATATATGTCAGCTCGTCCCTCAGTGGGACCGAAGTAATCACAGGGAAGAAGGGTGGGTGGGTTTATTGTATCAGGGGGCCACTTCACGTACCTATGAAGAGATGTAGGTTAACCCCTGTGATACGAATTCTCTCTTGCTCCCTATTATCAGTGACACCTCTTGAGCAAAGCTCTATGAAGAGATGTAGGTTAACCCCTGTGATATGAATTCTCTCTTGCTCCCTGTTATCAGTGACACCTCTTGAGCAAAGCCGCTTCCACATCTTGGAAGATCGGAGGGTTTATTTCTGGTAGCAGCATTACACAACTAGTGACACTTTATTGTAGCTTGGGGATATACCATCCATGCTTTTGGAGAGCTCCAAAATTTTAGCAGCTTTCCATTTTTTCCTCAAGCATCCTAAAATGTTTACGTTCCTTGAGAAAATCAAGTTCACTCCAGTAGTTTACTGTAAATGTGGTTTATGTATGTACTAAATTTCTAGTTGATGTATCTCTATAAGGCTCCAAATTCAAGGCCAGGTTGGACAGAGCCTTGGATGACATGGTCTGGTGTGAGATGTCCCTGCCCATGGCAGGGGTTGGAACTGGATGATGTTAATTAAAGTCCTTTCCAACCCAAACCATTTATGATTCAGAAGGATTTTGGTTACTTGGTTCATTGTGGATGAATCTCACATGCAGCATTTCAAATGTGCCTCTTCAACGTGCTTTAGCATGAGTATTCTTTCTCTCAGTGCTGATAAAGGGTCTTAAACAGCTCCATGAGAACCAAAAAAACAACCCAGGGCACCAGCTTTCGGAGAACAAATCTGGAAGTGGATTACCAAACACCAATCCCAGCTCGGGGGTGCAGCACGTGCAGATTCGAGTGGCTCGCTTAGAGGAGAACGCAGGCAACGCACCGAGCCCTATGGCAGCTTTGCAGATTCCAGTCCAGATTACCCATGTCTGTAAGTAGCTGAAACTAACACCTCTGTCCTCTAATGAAACCTACAACTTCCTTCTGTTAAGATGGTGAAGGAGGAGTGGGCATGTCATAAACAATTCTGTTAAATCCACTTTGGTTTTGCCATCATTTCAGATTAAGGATTTCTGGATTCCATTTGCCTGTTTCTGACTTTGTTAGGCAAGTGTAGGTGTTCCTGTGACAGTAGTACCAAGAAGCTGCAATTGGAGCACCTGGACATAGTAGCTGTGTGTCTGTGTACACGCACACAAGAGCTTGCCATATGATCTGTTCTTTGAAAAGGCTTCAGTACACAAGGCTCTTAATGAAGATGCAGTATGTATGTTTATTCCTTAAGTTTCTTCTGGTAGCTCTTGTTCAGAACAATATCATGTACAAGATCTACTTTTGTAAAATATAGACACTGCTGTCCCTAAGTTCTGATGAAGGACACTCAGGGGAAGGCATATAGTGTTTTTTTTCCAAGTCCTGCTTTTCATTATGGAGTTATTTCTGGGCACAAACACTCTGGAAGGTGTTAGCTGCTGAGTCACACTGATAATCTGCTCTGACCTCTTTATTGTGTTGTAAGTTGGTGCCTCCTGTGCTTTTAAGGATGAACTTTGCTCCTTATCAAACATTTATTACCAGGTCTATTTTGATTGTAGTGCTTATTGCTTGCTTTTGTAACTAATCTTACTTAATGATTCTAGTCACTCCAGTTGAGTCACCCCATGTGCAGCATGTGGTCGCCATTGTATACTGTTTGCAGTGTTTATCATTTGTGAAGTTCATTAGGAAAACTTAGTGCTTCATTCTTGCTGATTGCAAAATTAGTTAATTAGGTTAAGAACTGATTCTTCAGACAGTGACTGGATAGGTATTTAGTAAAGTAATTTTTCTTTATAATTTCATTGCATTAGCCTACCTGAATGTACTTACTAAGTGCCAGTTTCATCATATCTGGTTTATTTTTTAATTAGAATGACACACAACACCAAGCCAAGAACTCTTTACTTAATACTTCAGTGGCCTCAGACTTTCAACCCAGCTTGGCCAGAGCTGTTGGGTTTTGATGAGCAGACAAGATGTGCTGGTGTTCTATAACCTTTAGTCCTCTCGGAATTGAATCCCGCAATGGTTATTCTGTGGTGCCAGTTTTCCCTGTCTGCCTCACAAGCCTTTTTCTCATTTCAGTCAGCTTTCCTGAAGAATTTCTGCTTGTGTAATCAAAGTGGATTTTGTATTGTGTCTCTCCCAGTCCCATGAGAGCTGAACCTGTTAGCCACTTTCAGCTGCATCTGATAGAAGGCTCAAGGTTTCAAAGGGGTAATTCCTGTAAGCCTCATGAACATAACTGGCTTAGGTAACAGACAGGCCACATTTTACAGCTGTCTGCTACTAGGTGCCAGGAAATCTGCAGCAGGAAACCTTGAACATGCCACTGCAACAATAAAAGCTTCAAAATTGGAGCTTGTATCTTCTTAAGAGACCAAAACTACCCCACTTTGAAGCCACAGAGTCTGAGGTGGACAGGTTTCCAGTGCTTGGAGGACTGCTGTTGTCATGTAGGTCTTTTGCCCCCCTTTTTTTTTATATGTATGAAATTAATCCCAGGCAAAATATTACTTAAAATATTATTTTGCCTCCAGCATCCCAAAACTTCCGAGGTTTTTAACCATGATTATGGTTCTGAATAGGTTTTTTTGATATATGATAAATCTTTGGGTTCAAGATGTTCGGACGTGACAATCTTGAAATACCTGCTATCTGAACTGTTTTCAGTGCTTCTTTTTGTTACTTTTAGAATTAACGGAGATAATTACATAAATAAGTACCCACTTGTAGTAAGGATACTGACAGCTTCTGTACACTGCAATCATAACACACGGGGTGGCAGATATCTTGGGGTGCATCTGACGTTTCAACAGTGGTGGACATACTGTGGAGGGCAGAAAAGTTAAAAATGCAAAAAAACCCCCCTGACATCAGTTTAGAACAAGGAATACATGATCCAAAGGATATCATTGCACCAGAACCTCTTATAAATCTCATTACAAAAGTAATTAGGTCACATCATATAACTTTATTTGTATGACTTTATCTCTGTGCACTAAAACCATACCTTCTTTCTCTTGCTCTTTTGGATTTAGAATGCCCTCTTTAAATAGTGTTGTATCTTGGGTACCAATTAGAGAACCTTGTCATTAGGATTGCAGCCAGTTTTCTTTTCCCTCTTACCGGAATTAACAGTACCCTGCTATGTAACAATTATAGTACGTTGTGCTTTCTGCAAGGCTGAAACCTTTTGGCTTACATACTTTCCTTTTCTTATTCCATTTTGCAGCCTCAACTGATTCCCCTGCTGCTACTGTTGACTCTGAGACAATAACACTAAACAGTGGAACACTACAGACCTTTGAGATTCTTCCAGTAAGTAACAAGAACTGATATTTGTTACTGTGCTTTTTTCCTTTAAGCACGGCTACTTCTTAGGAATTGTGTGTTTCCCAAAGAACCAGTTCTCAAGTAGAAAGAGAAAGTTACAAGATCTAGAACTTAAAAGTTCAGAGCAAAATGCACTTCTAAGTGTCGTTCATTAGGGCTGTGAAATAAAATGTGAAGTACAGTTAAATGCTTTAAATCTTAATGCCTTACTGCTACAAAGTTTTCCTTTGTACTTGTTGTTTTTCTCCTGAACTCTGACATAACAGAGCCAGAGGAAGCTCCCAGCAAGTAAAGATTTTGTCAGTTCTATTATACTGTAATTTATAACACTTTCTTTTTCATCTCAGTGTTAAGAGTTAAGTTGAATTTGTTCCCTTCTTACCTGCTATTTGTACAGTGTAATAGAGTCTTAGCCTTAAATACATGTCTTGGTAGCTGAAGCATGTGGACGAGTTTCTCCTTTTCAGTGCTGTACAACAGTAGAGGTTGGATTCGTTTGTTTTCCAGGAGACTTACAGGTAGCTACTTCATGTAAACAAGCATTCTCTGAGCACGGCCCAGGGAGGCGGTGTGTTTGGGTATTAAACTTGTGTTGTCTTCTGTAGTCTTTCCATCTCCAGCCGACTGGAACACCGGGTACATACTTACTACAGACAAGCTCAAGCCAGGGCCTTCCTTTAACACTGACGACTAGTCCTACCATGACCCTAACAGCTGCTGCTGCTCCAGCTTCCCCAGAACAGATCATAGTTCATGCCTTATCGGTATGTATTTTGAGCAGTGAAAAGACTGGAGTTTGGACAGTGCAGGGAGGGGAACAGAATAATGCAGGACCTTGTGTGTGCATGTGGAATCCAAAAAGCAGTTCTTAAGGCAGAACAGTGTTACTTCACTTTAAAATACTGAAGAGTGAGAATGTCTTTTTGTGTATTGCTTTTAAAAAGCAACTTCAGGTTGCTTCGAAACAGCTTAGGGAGCAACTTGGTGCTTACTGTGGCTGAGTAGGGTGTCTCCATCTAGTGGCTTGCTCCCCAGTGAAACAAAACACTACAGTTTCCTCTTAAAGCTTCCAGTTAGTCTCGCAAATAAACGTTGGTGTTCACAAAACTTGTGCAGTAATGACAGCACTACTTTTTATTGGAGGGAAGGAGAAGCAAACGGGAGATTGAATAACAAAAGTCATGTAAAATTCAGGGGAAAAAACCTCTGATCTTTTGAATCTACAGTGATCCTCACCTGAACAGTTGCCTCTTTCATACATGTATTGCCTTTATTTGTGACTTAAAGAACAGATGATGCCAAATTCAGTCTACAGATTTCATCATTGAAGTCCAGGGACGGTCAACAGATGATCTGGGTGATATATATATCATAGAATTCTAAAATACCACATTGAAGGGACTTCAAGGATCATTTGGTTCAACCTTTCTAGGCAAAGCATATATGTAAAACTCTAAATAGTACTTAGTTCTTTGAATCCTTTTGCTTTTATTTGCTGTAAGATTTGAAGGTACTTGGAGGAAAATCTCTGATTTATTATTTTTGTGGATTTTGTTTGTGTCTCTTTTTGCCAACACTGCTTTACAGCCAGAGCATTTGTTAAACACAAGTGACAATGTCACAGTGCAGTGCCACACGCCGAGTGTCATAATCCGCACCGTTGCTGCCGAAGAGATCTCCTCCTCTGTCACTCAGGCAGAACTTACAGTTGATTCAGACATTCAGTCGGCCCATCTGACAGATCCTCCTGACACCCTGGAAACAAACACCTTCCCGGATGATATCCATCAGTCCAAGCTGAGCGATCAACAGTCAGCCTACAATGAAGATGAGGCCTCCAAATTCAGCAGCAGGGATAGTAGTGAACTGATGGATGGAGTTATGGTAAGAACTGAGGAGGGAATTTCAGACGCCAGCCTGAAACAGGAAGAGGATTCACACTCTGATTTACCCAGCACTTACGTTACTGAGGTAAGGGAGTGCATGATACTTGATATTTTCCCTGTTTCTGCATGGATAATAATTTCATTGCATCTTCAACCTTTACATTAAGCTGTTTATATGAAATCTGTCAGTGATTTCAAGTACATCATAGTTCTGTGTTTTGTTCAGATCCTCTATCCTTGAGCTTCATTAATGTGTTATGGGTGTGAAAGCGATGGCATTTAATTTGGTACTAAAGCTTGTATTTGACTTAATGGGGAACATGGAATACCTCACAAGATGTGGAGTTGCTTCACTACTCGGTACTTTTGTATGATGGTGTGGAAAGTGGGAATATTAGTGGCACCTTCATCTGATTACTATTTGATGCTGCTATTTTAAACTAGGCTGTTAATTGTCCAACATATACTTTAGAGGCAGATAGACTGCTGAGTAAGGGAGGTAAGGTAGCATATTTAGGTTTTGGTTTATGAAACTAGGAACAGAGATGCACCACAGTTTCCATTTTTGAGGACTTCAATGGAACATGCTACTCCAGTTAAATATCTGTTAAATTGGAATTGGAATCATTTAAGCTATTTCTCTGGCCTCAGTTTTACTCCACTCCAACACCTGAGATGAGTTTATCCAACTGATTTCAGGTATTTGGATTGTTTATGCTAAATTCCTCCATCTTTCAGTTGCTGGAACTATGATAATGAGTAAGTCAAGGAAAATAGAGATGCTACAAAGAAGGTAACTCTCTTTAGTAGGTGGAAAATACTTTCCTTAGAAGCTTGAGCAGGTTAGACTGCGGGAAGAGATGAGTTAGATTCAGATACCCCATTCTCTTCTCTAAACCACAGTACTCTACAGCTGCTGTAATTCTGCATTATCAGACTTGAAAATCCATTGTTGATAGGATTTGGCTTTGTTAGACTGCTGCTTTGAAAAGATTTCTCATAGACACTGCATATCCGTTACGCTCTTACAAAGAGGAGCATCTTTGTACTTCTCACCAGTCTGCTACTGCAGCAGCATTTGAATCCTGAATACATCCAAAGCTGGGGATTATTGTTCCACTTTCCTCTTTCTTGCCTCGTGGTTGATATAGTTGTGATGAGATTCTCAACAGCTGGGGCAGCCCATCAGCTTAAAATTGCAGCCTCTCAAGGTAGAATTAGTAAACTTTTGCTATAAACCTACTTCCCAGTTACACTTTGTAGAAATCACTTATGGCAAGCAGAATATAAAGAGCTACTAAACTTTTTTTCTACACAATACAACAAACAGAGTTTGTAATTCTAATTTGCTTTACATTTCTGGTCAGGTTCAAGTTTGACATGTGTATTTAAATTCTAGGAAACAGCGAACCGGCTGTGAGTAACTCTTGAGTAAAAAGTTACTCTAGAAAGACATGCCTACATTTTGCTGTCTTTCAGTCAGTGTTATTTTTATGTTCTTGACAGTATTGTCACTGTGGGTGTGGGTAGTGGGAAGCAGGCAGTCATGCTGCAGGGTTTTATTATTTCTGGCTGGGAAAGGTGCCCATTCGCCACAATGGTTTCTTTAATTTTTCACGCCTCCTCTTCCCCGTTTCAAGCCCTGCAGCATATTGCTTATCATGGGCAGGTCCTCTGTGTGCTCTGCAGAAAGCTGCTTCTGCACGTCAGGCATACAGCACCTTGCCTGAATGGGTGCACATCAGGACCAGGTCGAGTTCACTGAGCTGCAGCACAGGTAGTCAGCTCCTCTTCAGCAGCACTGGGGAAGGGGTTTTCAGGCAGGTGCCTTTGCAAAAATACTGTTGTAGGGAAACAGGTTTTCCTAAAAGAAACCCCATGAGGTGGACGAACTGAAGGATTTTCTTGAACAGAGAGAGGCTGTAACCTCCCCCAGACATTTCCTGCTCCCTCTGAAGAGAGCGGTAAGTCCAGGTACCTCCCATTCTGCCAGCAACATTTGCTAGAGTTCTACGTCAGTGATTCATGGAATTATAGATTGCTTAGAGTTGGAAGGGACCTTAAAAGTCATAAGCCTTAAGCACGTTACACACAAAACCTGGAATCCAAATACCTCTGCTTATTCTGGCAGTACTATCTAGGATGTCTTCACTGCCTTTGCAGAACCAGGATTCTGCCGGAGTGTGGCGTGGCAGTGAGTAAGCCAGACGTATTACTGCCATTCCAGTACTACAAGACCCCAGGAAGAGGCAGCAGGAGCAGTTACTACAGGACTGGAAGAGACCAAGGGTATTGACAACTCGTACGTGGAAAGAATCAGTGTGTTGAGAACTTTTCTATGTCATGAAGTTCAGCTAAAAAAGTTTGGAGCCAACTTACAGTCAGCAAGTGACAGGGCAAGCAAGGCACAGCGATTAAAATGGGTCTTTTGAGCTCCGTGTTCAGTAGTTAAAACTTGACACAGGTGTAGAAGTTGTGAAACTAAATACTAACTTCAGATAAAGCTATTGCGTTTGTGGAGCTGGTAAGTACCATAAAGGTATGCTTCAGTGTCTCAGAACATCTAGGCAGCAATTAGTGGAGAAGCTTAGTTATTCCTCTTTGAACACAAAACATTTGACTTAAAAGGGAACATTTTATCACCACCTTGCAGTCTCTTCTGCCCTTGTGCTGCTCACAAGTTAGAATTCCTCTCATCTTGTTTTGGATGCCTGCACTAGGATGAAACATGCCCTATAAATGCTGAAGTAAACTAGCTGAGATGCTGACGTTTCAATTTAATGAGATAGAATTCATCCAGGGGGTCTACTGCTTACTCTGGAGTGTGGCTGAGCAAGGCAAGTTTTTCTGTTAATGCAACCAAGAGTACATACTCACGTCCTGTTCTTCTGTGTTGTGCAGGACCTGGGTTCTCCAACGATAGAAGAACAAGTTGATCAGCCTACAATAGATGATGAGGCTGTGCTTATTGTTCCTTCTTCCCATGGTTTTATCCAGACAACAGATGATATAGACAACGAATCAGTCTTGCCCCTGACAACTCTAACAGGTACGACAGTTCCTTTCAGATGGTCGATGCCAGAGGTAGGATTCATAAATGGCACTTGAGAGTTCCTGTAAACAACACTTTCTAGATCCTTGCTTTCTCTTAAGTAGTTCTCCATGTCATTGCTATGAAACCAAGCAAGTTGGTTACCCAGCTGGTATCAGCAGAAGTGGAAGAAAGCCCCACTTAACCCTGTGTGAAAAGCATTGGAACAGCAGCTGCTTCATCTGCTGCTGAGCTGTTACCATCACCCTTGAGCCTTGAATTAGTACACGCAGGCTAATAAGTAACTCTTTCTTTAGTGTGCATTTCTTCATGCCTGGTGCTTGAATGAAATTTCTTATCTGAGAGAAAACCAGAGGCATCAGAAGCGCACTTGATGCCTCTTAGTGAGGGGCTGGGCTCTCAGGAGGGGCTGTTTGCACAGCACTCAGCTTGCACCATGCTTCCCAGTGCCAAGAGTCATCTCGGGCTCAGAAGCAGCACAGATACATTCCCACTGCTGCACCTGACAAATACTCCTTTCCAGAGGAGGGATCTCCTTGTAGAGCCATCAGAGGGTCAGCATTAGGCCTGATACACTAGTCACTCGTGGGTCCAAATGTGACACTGGTTGCATCTGTGTTAGTCATACCTTACCTTGAAACTGGAAATTGAGAACTGCCCAGTTTGAGCAACATTGCTTAAAGTCCTTTAAAATTCCAGATGGTGTTTTCTGTCTCCTAAGTGTGTTTTATATCTTGTTATAATGGGACAGTAAATAGTTCTGATGTACTGTGTCTCTTGACAGATCCTATCCTGCAGCATCACGGAGATGGGTCACACATTATTGGCTCATCGTTGGGCAGTCCTGACTCAGAAGATTCAAAGGATGTTGAAGATTTAGTGAGCTGTCACTGAGAAGCAGAAATTGTGTCCATTTTCTATTGACCATGTTTGCGTTGTGAAATCAGTTACAACCCTGTGCCACATTTCCAAAGAAAGGAGTCAGGCTGTGTCCTTAAACAGAAACTTCCAGTGTGAAATGACTACAGTGCACTTTCTCTGCTCAGGCTGGTTACCTCCTTTGTCAAGGGTCACAGAGCAGCCAGCTGAAGCCTCATGTACTGCGTCTCAGCCAGGGTGTCTCTGTTCTAAAGAACCTCTGTTGCAGTGCTCGCTGGTAGCATCCACGTGGTCAGTTCGGATCTGACACGTTACTGATGTGCTTGGACTGCACATCTGGGAACCTGGACACAAGTCAAGGATCATGGACTGTAGCCTCTTAGTGCCGCAGCAAGGATTAGTTTGCACATGTTTCATGAAGAATGGGTGAGGATTTCTGCACTTACTGACTCTTGTGATACATGGAGTAAGAGACTGTTACATTTCAGGAAGAAATGTATTCCATCAAAGACTTCAGGGAGCATGGGCAGCATCATGAAGAAATGGTCTGTATTCCCATCTCATCAGTGCGACTATAGCTTAGGAAGAAGACACAGAAGCTCATGGGACTTGCCAAGTCTGCTTGTTCCTGAGGAGCCCGTTGCTGGCAATGGGCAGAGCTCAGGAAGATCACTTGTGGAAAATCTCTTTCTTGTTTTTTCTTTTCATTCATCACTACAGAAAGCTCAATCAAAAGGGAAGGGCTGTGAGAAAGGGAAGCTACCGGGACCCACCAGCCTCCCCAGCAAGCTTGTACCTCCTTTGAAGAGTGTTGTGAGTAGGCTGGAACATTGGTCTCTCTCTCGCTGTTTACATGACACTACCAGCCACCTCTCCAGAGGTGATTTATGCAGCAAGTTAGTAGATGGAGGGTGGTGTCAGGGTGGCAAAGTCTTGGAGAAACGGCTCTGTGAGAAGCTGGGCATAGGGCCCCAAGGCCAAAGGAAGCCAAGTAATTCCTGCATTCAAGGGTCTGAAGAGACACTAGGCTGAGCAGCAGCCTGTTAGCTCGGGATCGAGAGAAGAAGCTATAGAAACTAAAGACTCATGTATAAATTATTTTATTTATTTCTGTAATTAGCTCTTCATAATCAAAAGTGGGTCTTTTTTTTCAGTCTGTGGTTTTGTTAATGTGGAAAAACATAAGTTGTAGTTTCAAATGGTTGCCTAGGGAACAGAAATAACTGTATATTCAGTTTCAGCGAAATAAAGAGTATTTGTCTTACGGAACTGTAAGATGCCATTTATTTGTACTGCTACAGACCCTTTGCAATGCTGCAGTTTCGTTTGTACAGTCATAAAAAACGCAGGGGTTTTGTTTTTCCAAAATGAAAAAGCTTGTGTCATTCTGAACCATCAGTACAACTGGAATGTTCATCAAGCGCAACAGGAGCTCTTCAAAAAAAAGCAGAATGTCACGTCTTAGGGCAATAATTCTCCCCACCAAGAGGGACATTACATATACATTTACATGAAAATCATGTACTGGTTTATCCTTGCACAACCCACTTCTTTCCTCTCAGGCTGATCGTCCTCACTTCAATGTCTCGAGCGGAGCTGAGAGCTGAGCTGAAAGCGGTCTGACACGGCAGCATCACTGCTGGGGGTTCCCGATGGCCGTCATTTACCCACTTCATGGAAGTACAGGTTGGCACATATACATAACATGACAATAGAAAATAATATGTAGTAAATCAGGTTCCTGAATTTAGGTTCCAGGTCTCCTTGTCGATACCAGTAGATCTAGAAGAGAGGAGGAGTCTGTATTACTTTAAAAGGCCGGGTACTCCTGAGGAAACCACCTGTGGTAACTGAACTGGCAACTTTTAGACCTTTCTTTGCCTTTAAAACAACCCAGCTTCACCTGACTGGAGAAAATCAGGTGTAGAATCCAGCTAATTTTCTTAACAATTAAATTAAGAACTACCACCAGTTTTCTTTGCATGCCTGAGGAATTGGCAAGGTGTTTCTCCCCAAAACAGGCTCTTTGTTTGCAAAACCAGGATGCCAGGTTAGCTATGGAGACAGGGGTTGTCTTGTCAGCTTTGTTGGGTGAATTGGGTTTTTTTAAACACTTAAAACTGGCTACACCCTGGTTGATAAGGACAAACAGGGTTTGCACTACACTATCTTACCTTGGACAGAGGCATGGCTACCATGAACACTAAACACACTGCCCAGGCACCACAGAGCAACTTCCCAGCTTACCCAGCAATGAGGGGCAGGGGCCCAGGGCCATGACTGTTCAGGTCACAGCAGGGGGAAGAATGCTCCAAGGGTGAAAAGCTACAGCAGAGGAAGGAGCCACAGATGTCCCTGCCCGTGGCAGGGGGGCTGGACTACGTCTTCAAAGGTCCCTTCCGACCCAAAGTGTTCTGTGAACTCTGGCCTGCCAGTTTCCTTTGCCAGCACTTGGGACCAACTCTCTTGGGATGCTGAAACTGCTGAGTAGAGGAACCTCTGTTACTACCCCGATGAAATGCCACCATCTGTAGCTTCCTACTGCTGTAACATGCCCTGTGCCTGACTTCTGCAAGTGCCTGGCTGGCCCCACCACTTCGAGTTCAGGTGTTTCACTCCACCCTAAGTCTTCTGCAGCACGATCCATCTCTGCATTGCCATCCCACTGCTCCCCAGCTTCCTACTTCCATGTCCCCACTGGCAGCTACAGATGGCACTGTCGCAGAGGTGACAGGTTTTGCATCACTGTGCTCTGCAGAAGTTGGCTTAGTCCACACGTTTACTCTGCACTCAGTACAAAACCGTGACCACCCTTTCATTGTCACCTTGTTCTATGGAGGCAGGAAAACTTTCTAGGAGAGTGTAAAAAAGAAGGTGGCACCACATCGAGCAGATTTTATCCAGATTCATCCTCAAGTCACCAACTCAGAAGCTCGCAGAGCCAACGTGGTGGTACTCACAAGTATGCCAGCAGAGATGCAACACAAGGAGATGCAGAAAGCAAGAAATACATTCACAGGCTTTGGAGGTAGTTGTGGGAAGACAAAAGCACTGATTAGAGTGACCTGTGTAGGGGAAAACAAAGATGAAGACTCTCAGTGAGGATGGTGTATCACAGCGCTCGCATCCAGCTCTGCACATCCCTCCCTGCTCTGTAACTCCCACCCATGAAGAGCTGGAAGGAGATGCAAGATTCTGGAAGAAAACCACTTTGCACAACTGCAGACTTAGAGGGGTGGAAAACAACACTGAAAGCTTTGCTTTGCTACTCTGGCTTGTTGCTGGAACACATCCTCCTGAAACAAGGCTTGAAGAAAGGCACTCTGCTTCTCCTGTTGTCAAGGAGTTCCAAAACACAGATGTGCCTCAAAGGGACAACCTGGGCCCCAGACTACAGCCTGCTGGGTCAGTGAAGTGTCACCACCCATTTTGGGGAGGAACCCTGGTTTTTAACCCGTCACCTAAGGAGGGCACGAAACACAGGACGGGATGGGGGATACTTACAACAAGCAGCAAGGACGTTAAGCCGCCAACAACTAGATTGATGATTCTGTCCTGAAGAAAAGAGAGGATGGTTACAACTTGTCTTGCCAAAAAAACCCACATAGAACAGACTGGTAACCAACCACACTGAGAGCACAGCATCAGCCAGGAACCCAGCACACCCAGCAGCACCACCGAGGCTCCCTGCTCAGCTCTGCCACACAGGTAGGTTTCCCCCTCTCTGACTCCATGGAGGTCAGTGGCAGGGACCAAGTCCTCGTGCAGGAGGTTTGCTCATTGGCACCTGGCTTCTTTGCTGCATCCAAATAGATAATAGATTACAAATCCTTCTTAAAAAGTGGGAATGGACAGATGGAGGTTGTCAAAGCTTATTTTAGCCTCAGAGTTAATAGCTTGATATAGTGTCTTAGGTGGGAATTTGTGGGCTGTGGCAAGGAGGTGCAGTGTTCACTGCACCCCAAACATTCCCCCTTAATACCAAACCTGAGTGCACCTCTGGGGCCCTGCTAGGATGGACAGATCTACTTTCCCCTACTCCTTTCTGTTCCCCATGAGTATAAAACACTTGGCTGGGAAGAGAAAACCTTTTGGGAAGAGGTATCCCTCAGTGTCAGCATCACAATCCCACCGCAGTTGGCATCAGGACAGGGACCAGCAGTGACATCAGGCTGTGTGAGTGCCCAGGGCAGGACTCCACAGTGATGCACTCACTGAAGTAAGAAATGACTTCGTGCAAGAGGGGAACATTCCCACTCCCTTGCTTCATGGTGCTGCTCTGAGCATAAACATCTATGGCCAAAGTCAGACTGGGTTGCATTCAGTCGGTGTAACACCCCAAATAAAACACTAGAAGAACAGCTACAGCATGTGCAGAGAATAAACCCCCAGAACTTCAGTAATTACACCAAGATTATATCATTAGTTGTATTATTAGTTGGGTATGGTTAGAGGAAAGGGAGAAAAAGAGTTCAAGCAGTGAAAACATCTTGCCCAAGACATCCCAGCTGGCTGTGTTTGTCCCCAAGGGAAGGGACCACAACCAGCAGACTCTTTAAAACCTCTTCTGTTCATCCCCAGCATAAAACCAGACCATTTGTGCTCCCACAGCTCAGAGGCCCCAAGCCATGGGGGCACGGTGGTGTGTGCAGCAGTGGGAAGTGAGCCACCTCCACAGGAACCTGTCACCAACATCCCCTGCCCAAGGTCCTCCCCAGCCAGGCACAAACACCTTTTCCTCACCAGTATCTCCATACGCAGTGTTGGCAATGCCACAGCAGCCCCGTGGAGCCATGTACAAGGTACCCACCACCCCAAAAAATGAGCTAAGAGGAATAAACCCAGGCAAATGGCAAGCACACTACCTCCATTGGAGCATGTCACGACAGCTCAGCTGGGCTCCTCCACCTAAACTGAAATACATGAACTTTCATACAATCATACAAGCAACCAGGCTGGAAAAGACCTTTGAGATCATCAAGTCCAACGCCCCGGGCCTGCCAAGTCCACCACTAAACCATGTCACTAAACCTAGACAGAATGTGGAGGGGTCCCTGCCCCCAAAAGCAGCTCTGATATCAGGAGAGGACGGCGGGTTTGCTCTGCCCTTGCCCTGCAGACCTGGCTGAGCCCCCCAAGGTGGCTTTATGGAGGGGGACCAGAGTTTGCATTCTGGCTCAGCACCCCAGGGACACAAACGGGTGGCAGGAGGTGAGCAGCTGGGTCCCTCCTCT